CCTAAATCCTGTCACATTCCTACAGCAGCATGTTTTTTCAAAAAAAGGTTTTGTTTGTTTGTTGTTTTTTGAGGCTACATCTAGAAGTTGTATGTCTAAAACCAGCTCAAAAAGATTTTAAAAATTATTTGCATGCTTGCGTGCGTGTGTGTGTGTGTGCTTGTGTGTGTGTGTGTGTGTGTGTGTGTGTGTGTGTGTGTGTATACTTCATGTGTGCAAATAGCCATGAAGGCCAGAAGAGAATGTTTCAGTCACTGTAGCTAGAGTCACAGGAGGTTGGAAGTCACAAGACATGGGTGCTAGGATCCAATCTCAGGTCCTCTGCAAGAGCAACTAATGCTTTTAATCTCTGAGCCATCTCCCCTGCAGCACCTTTCCTTTCTTTCTTTTTCTTTCTTTCTTTCTTTCTTTCTTTCTTTCTTTCTTTCTTTCTTTCTTTCTTTCTTTCTTTCTTTCTTCCCTGGTTTTTGGTCTTTATAGACAGGATTTCTCTGTGTAGTCCTGGCTGTCCTGGAACTTACTCTGTAGACCAGGCTGGCCTCCAACCCAGAGATCAAGCCGTGTCTGCCTCCCAAGTGCTGGGATTAAAGGTGTGTGCCACCACTGCCTGGCCCTGTTTAACCTTTAACCTTCTAGTGTTGCCCTCATCTAATGCCAAACCCTTTCCTGTCCCCACAAAATGTCCTCTACTATGTATCTTTGAAGTGGAATGGCTATCCCATATTCTTCAGGCCTGGACTTAACTAAAAATCAAAATGTCTGTAGGTGCTGGAGAGGTGGCTCAGAAGTAGAGAGCATTTGTTGCTCTTCCAGAGGACCAGAGTTTGGTTCCTAGCACTCATATCAGGCAGGCCCTAACTGCCTGTAAGTCCAGCTCCAGGAGGTCTGGTGCCCTCTCGCCTTCTTGAGCACCCACATGCACACAGTTTACATGCACACATCACACACACACACACACACACACACACACGCACACACACATGCACACACGCACATACACATAAATAAAAACAAACCTGTGTTTAAATGTATAAAAAAGGCGGCTGGAGAGGTGGCTCGGCAATTAGGGGCACTGGCTGTTTTTCCAGAGGACCTGGGTTTGATTCCACTACCCACACGGGCGCTTACAACCATCTGTAACTACAGTTCCAGAGGATCTGATGTCTTCCTCTGGCCTCCTTGGGCACAAGCATGTGACACATACACACGTGTGCAGGCAAGCACTCAGGCACAGTAAGTAAATTACTGTGGAACAATGGAGACAAATCAGGTTCTTCTTGTGCCTTGGCTAACCTAGAAATCCGTTTTCCTCTGCCAATTCTGTTTCCTAATTTCTTTTGGAATATAGGGAAACTGGGGTAGCAGGTTGTAGACCTGAATTTTGGAAATAGCGGCTGTGCCAGGTGGCTAGCATATGGTATTGCCATGACTTTGGAAGTTATCAGCTGATCACTCTGGCAGCCATCTTAGATTCAAGCAGTTTCAGCTAATCTAACTGAGGAGGGACTTCTGGCCTGTAGACATCCTGTCCTCAGAGATAGGTAAGATAAAATTCAACCGCATCCTAAGGCAGTACTCAAGGCAATGAGTCCACTCCTGGGTTTAAAAAAAAAAAATCACCATCAAAACTAAAAACAAAGTAAATACTGATCATCCCAGCACAGAATCAAACAGGAAGATGGCTACAAGTCAGAGACGAGCGGGAGCTACACAGCGAGTTCTAGACCATCCTGAGCTATTGTGCTACTGTGTGAGACATTATCTTAAAATAAAACAACCCCTCACAAAGAAACGGCTCTCCCCACCAAAAAAAAAAAAAAAAAAAAAATCTAAATGGAAAAAAAATTGCTACTAAGTTTGAGTCTTCACAAAAGCAGTCCTTCTGGCATTTGCCTGGGTTGAATTTCTAGGAGTGGTGGTATTTTGAGGTGTCTTCCTGTGTTCTTGCTGGATTCCTAGGCTCCATCATCCTCCGGCTTCACCCTCCCACATGTTGGGATGCCAGGTGCACACACCTGCTCAGAATTTTTCTTTTCCCTGCTAAGGATCAAGCCCAAACTTGTCTTCCTTAGACAAAAGCTCTACCACTGATTGCTCAGATACAAAACTTATTTTTTTTTTTTTAGAAATTCCTTTATTTATTTAAAACTCCTTTATTTAAAATTTTGTAGCTTTGGAAATTCTTACTGGGCAATGGCGGCGGCACATGTCTTTAATCTCAGCACTTGGAAGGCAGAGGTAGGCAGAACTCTGAGTTCAAGGCCAGCCTGGTCTGCAGAGTGAGTTCCAGGACAGCCAGGGTTATACAGAGAAACCCTGTCTTAAAAAACAACAACAACAACAAAATCCTTATAAAATAAAGTTGCGCCTATGAAATGAATCTATACTTGAAAAGCCTCCTTTCTGCACAAGAAGACAGTGGGAAAGGAGTGAGTGTGACACTGGGCATTTATGGCCATCGCCTCCCAGCTGAACTTTTACCTGTTCTTTCTTTGTTTCAGGGCTGAGTTTAGATTTATGCCCTCTGTCAAGCTGTACAGGGTCTGATTTGTTCTAACTAGAGTTGTCCCTTAGGAAATACATACTTGGAATTACCCAGCTAACAACTGCTTTGTTGTTGCCTGCAACAATGTTAGACTGAGCAGAGACTTGCAACCAGAGCTGGGCTTAAGTGGTCATCCTCCTGTGTCAGCCTCCCACGCCAACACACCACCCGCCTAAGAACATCAGTGAAGCGTGTGGTGTAACACACCCCTAGACTCAGCACTAAGGAGGCAAAGACAGGCAGACCTCTGTGAGTCCCCGGCCAGCCGGGTCTATACAGTGAGTCAGACCAGCCCGGAAAATATAATAAGACGTATATCTTGACCTGAAGCCCCGCCTGGGCTACATGAGACTCCTTTAAAAAGAAGGGAGAAGAACCACGGGTTGCTGCCGAGATGTCTCGTCTAACCTGAACATCGATATGAAGTAGTCCCTGTCAAATCACTTTACTAAAAGAACTAGTGTGTGGGGCTAGAGAGATGGCTCGGTGGTTAAGAACGCTTGTTCTCAAAGAAGGCCCAGGTTCAACTACTATCACCTACATGGTGGCTCACAGCTATCTAGAATCCCAGTTCCAGGGGATCTGAAGCCCTCAGAAGGCACCAGGCCTTGGAGACAAAACACGCACACATTTAAATAAATGACTCAAAAATAATAGCCCTAGGTATCCCCTGGTTTTCATATAAGCCAAACAAGAAATCCCTGTAGAGTTTGCTACCTCTCCGGAAGCTCATGTTCCCTGATGAGGGCATGCATCCTCTCAATAGTCAGATTTCCTCTCAGCCCCACTAGGGAGACAGAAGCAGGTGGATCTCTGATTCCAGGCCAGCCTGGTCTACATAGCAAGTTTCAGGGCAGCCAAAACTACACAGAGAAGCTCTGTCTCGAAAAGCAAAAAATAAAATAAAGAAATAATCAATCAATAAAGAAATAAGTAGAACTTCCTCTCAACCCTTACTGACCGCCCCTCAGAGTTCTCTGACAGTGACGAAGTTACTGGAGTTGTCAAGAGTCAGAGCCTAAAGCCCTCTCAGCCCTAACAAGCTAGATCAACCAATAGGTCAGTTGAAGAAACAAATGATAGTAAAAAGCGGGGTTGGGGGGGGACGGACTTCTTCAATGTAGTCACATTGGGAAGGGAACAAAGAAATCAGCTGACACCCCACCTCCATCAACTGTTAACTTGATAAAGCCTAGAATCACCCTGGAAGGGGGTCTCCATGAGAGACTGTGTTCATCAGGTTGGCCTATGTGCATGTCTGACCTGATTATGCGTTGATTGACGTAGTAGGACTCAGCGGACTGGGCAGCTCCGCCCTTGGTGTTTGGGGCGCTGGACTGCATAGGAGTGAGTTTTGTTTGCTTGTTTGCTTGTTTGTTTGTTTGTTTGTTTGTTTTACTCTGGACTGAATAGAAGCAGAGACATGTATGGGCTTCTCACTGCCCTTGATGTAGCGTGACTAACTGAGCTCCTGCCTTGATTTCCTTGCTGTAATTGACTGCAACCATTGTGAGCTAAAATAAACTCTCTTGGTCTGTCTCTTTCCCTCTGTCTGTCTCTGTCTGTCTCTCTGGGGGCGGGAAGGAGGGGCGGTATGTGCACACGCGTGCAGCACTCTAAAATGCTGGGGGCCGGAATCCTAGGATCTGGAATCCTAGGACTGGAATCACTGAAATCACTGGCAGTTGTGTGCTGCCGTTTGGGTCGGAGGAATGGAGCTCAGGTCCTCTAGGAGGAGCGGCAAACACTCACGGAGCCAGCTCCCCAGCCTCAGAGCCGAGCTCTGACGACTGCGTACTTCCGGCTTGCGGGTTAACAGGTCGCAGCGTGCCCCGGCATCCAGCTGTGACAGCTTTCAAGGGAGGGTTCAGCACGAACCGGTGAGGTTTACCCGCAGTTGGAGAGGAATGGCTACCACAGGCACTAAAGATTCCCCAGGAGAATTTGGGCTGTTCTGCACAACCAGAAAGTTCTAGCGGGTCTGTAGACTCTTCACACACGTGGGTTTTTGGGGGGTTGGTTTTGTTCTGTTCTTCAGGGAACCCCAAACCCCACTCTCCCCTTCCTGCCCTGTCATCCCCAGGATAAAAAGTCCTTCCAGAACCTGGAGGGCAGCAGCCTCTTCCGCCCAACATAACCCGTTACGTCACAACAGAGCGAATCTCCCTGTTTCAGGTCGGTGCTCTAGAACCAGAGATTCACGGTTACGATAAAGGTTACAATGTGAACTCCACGCGTCAGGGACTCTCCTCCCCAAGAAGAACACTTAAGGAAGTCCCGGAGCCAGGCAAGCCAGGGAGCTGGGACTGGTTACCGCGTCACGGCTGATTGGCTTGCATGGCTCTGGCCTCCGAGCGCGATTGGCCGCTGAAGACCCACCCCCTTTCCGATTGGACGGAATGGTGAAGCTAGGATTGGTGGACTGTAAGCTAAAACACCCCCCCAAGCTCCTGGCTCAACACAGAGATGGCGACTGCGATCAGGCTGCTGGGCCGGCGGGTGTCCACTTGGAGACTGCGGCCATCACCGTCTCCCCTCGCTGTCCCGCGACGGTCCCACTCATTACTGCCTGTGGACGATGATATCAACGGGTTAAGCGGGGAACAGAAGCAGGTAGGGAGGCCTGCCCGGAGGCCTGGTGACCCGTGTCTTACCCTACAAATGACTTGTGCCTGCCGGGCCCCCACAAATGACTTGTGCCTGCCGGGCCTTGGAAGCTAGGGAGAGAAACTGCGCGCCCTTCTTCTTGCTAGTGATCTCAATGCCCAAGCCTCTGCTCTCATCGTTATCTTTAACGAGGGAAGATCAGAGACAGCAAGGCGAAAGGATTCCTCACTTTGAACTCCTGCTAGAAGGAGTTAGAAGAGTAAGGACCAAAGCTCCTGGGAGACTGGACTGTTTGGTTGGGCAGATTGGTTGCCCCTACCTTCAGTGGCAATCACTTACAATGCAGCCTGTTCTTTATATGTATCTATCTCCTTCCCTGGGGTCTCAGTATGTATAGTTTTGAGTGGCCTGTACCTTGCCTTGTAAACCAGGCCGGCCTAGAACTCTGGTGATCGTCTTGCTTCTGCCTCCAGAATGGTGGGATTAAAGGCGTGTACCACCGCACCAGGCTTAAAACTGTGGTTCTCGGTTTATGTATGGTTGAGCCATAACCACGAGGGCACTGTTTTCTTGCACTGGAAGGCTTTAAGGAATTCTGAGATGCAATCTTAGTTTGCTTTCTTCCCCTCATCAAGGCCTAACACACAAAGCTGAACAAGATCTTGAAAAATGTGTTCACTAAGGTTGCCTCCCCTTATTGCTGGGTTTAAGACTGTTCTCGCTAATTAAAGGCAGTGAGTAATTTCCAAGGATGCTCAGGCCCTGGGAATGAGTATGTATGTATGTATGTATGTATGTATGTATGTATATGTATGACCAAGGGCCAGTGTTGCTATGAATGTTAACCTGGGTGGAGGAAGAATCTGGAGACCCCAGAGCGCCTTCTGTCTTAGAATCTTCCGGGATTCTAAGGTCCAGCTTGTCGTTTCCACTAGCCTGTTGTCTGGTTCCTGAGCTGTTACTTTCCCTGTGTCCTGGGAAATGATGATTACATTCAGACCTTTGAGGCAAACACACTTAGGATATAACGCTCCCACGCTTGTGACACATTCGTATGGAGTGCTGTTTTTGTTCTTGTACCAGCCTATGTTAATAAAGGAACTGGATGTTCGCTGCTTAACTCATTTACCTTTATGAGTTAATTTTAGATTTACTTGTCTTATGTGTGTGAGTGTTTTGCCAGAATGTGTGTATGTACACCGTGTGCCTTACCTGGTGCCTGCAGAGGATAGAAGAAGGTGTCCTATCTCCTGGGACTGGAGTTAGGGAAGGTTGTGAGCCTCCATGTGGGTGCCGGGGATTGAACCTGCAAAAGCGGCATTCTTAGGTAGTGTTATCATTGCTGTGAAGGGACACTGTGACCAAAAGCAACTTGGGGGAGGGAAGGGTTTATTTGGCTTAAACGTCCACATCTTACTGTATCACTAAAGAAAGGCAGGACAGAAACTCAAACAGGGCCGGAACCTAGACTCAGGAACTGGTGCAGAGGCTGTAGAGGAGTGTAGTTTGCTGGCTTGCTCCTCATGGCTTGCTCAGCCTACTTTCTTTTTGTTTTTTTGTTTGTTTGTTTCTTCCAGACAGGATTTCTCTGTGTGGCCTTGGGTGTCGTGGATTTGTAGACCAGGCTGGCCTTGAACTCACTGCAATCCACCTGCCTCTACCTCCCCAAGTGCTGGGATTACAGGCATGTGCCACCACGCCTGGACAGGAATTGAAATATGACAGGAACCTGTGGGCAGGAACTGATACAGAGGCCATGGAGGGGTGCTGCTTACTGCCTTGCTACTTCCAGCTTGCTCAGCCACTCTTACAGAACCCAGGACCACCAGGCTAGAGACGGCCCCACCTACAATGGACTGTGCCCTCGCCCATCAGTCACTAATTAAGAAAGTACCCCGATTGAATCACTTATTAAGCTTATGCCTCTTGTGGGGGCATTTCCTCAAATGAGGCTCCCTCTCTAACGACGCTAAGCTTGTATCACACTGATAGAAAACCAGCCAGCACACGCTCTTAACCGCCGAAGCACGGGTCCACCCCTCACTTGCCTTCTTAAATCAATACTGTCCCAGTTCTCTCACCTGAACACCTTGAGTATCGCCCTCGTATATAGTTGCATACATTCTTTGTTTTGAGACAGGATGTTGCTGAGTGGCCAGGGGGACCTGGACATTTTAGCCGTCTTCCTGCCCAGCTTCCTGAGTGCTGGGTCACATGCCTGTATCTCTATATCCAGATTTATAATGCATCCCCCCCCCAACACACACCCCATTTGTGTCTATTCACTGGGCATGGGGTTGGGTTACATAAAGACTTTTCCACGCACTTTAAACATATTCCCTCTTTTTTTTTTTTAATTTTATTTTTCTTATTAGTTACATTTTGTTAATGCTGTATCCCAGCTGTATCCCTCATTCCCTCCCCAATCCCACCCACCCTCCCTCATCTCCTCCCTGCCCCTTTCCAAGTCCACTGATAGGGGAAGACCTCCTCCCCTTTCATATGACTCCGTTTTGTCAGGTATTTTCAGGACTGGCTGCAAAGTCCTCCTCTGTGGCCTAACAGTACTGCTCCTCCCTTGGGAGGTGGGGAGGTCAAAGAGCCAGTCATTGAGTTCCTGTTAGAAATAGTCCTTGTTCCCCTCACTATGGGAAACCAATTGGTTACTGAGCTATCACGGGTCACATCCGAGCAGAGGATCTAGGTTTTATCCTCTCATGGTCTTTGGTTGAGTGTCCATCTCAACATATTCCCTCTTACAATGTGTTCATTCTCTCTCTCAGTGTCTCACTATATAAACCTGGCTGGACTCTCAGAGCTCCGCCTGCCTCCTTACCACCATAACTAGCTTTTTTTTTTTTTTTTAAGATTTTATTTATTTATTTTATGTTTGAGCGCTTTATCTGCATGTGTGCCTGCACGCCAGAGAGCTCATCAATCCAGTACAGATGGTTGTGAGGCATCATGTGGTTTCTGGGAATTGAACTCAGGACATAGAGAGGAGCAGACAGTGCTCTCATGACAGTGGTGGCCCTCCCATATATGCATAAAGACATAAATATTATTTGTAAAATTAACATCAACATGAGGAGCTCCAAAGCCCATGGCTGTGTCGTTGGCAGAGAGCTGCTTTGGAGGCCTCAGGCTTCAGATCTGAGTCTCTAATGCTCAATCCTAGGTCTCTAGTTTTCCTACCAGGGGCATGTCATTGAGTAAATGAGTAACTACTCATTGAGTAAATGAGTAATTTCTTTTAGCCGAAGTCTCAAGGATAGTAAAGAGGTTGACAAGTATCCAGAACTGAAGGGGCGTGCCTGGAGTACACTGAATGGGTAATGGGAAGGTACAGCGGAGGACAGTCCATGCTGGCTGGCTTAGGGACTTGTGTGTTACTCTGAGTACCGCAGGAAGGCTTGGAGTAATTTTAAGTAGAGGAGCAGCATTTTAAACATCTTTTTCAAGCCAGTCCCAGACGCGGCGGGAGCTGCGGGTTACCGTGCAGTCATGGCCAAGTCCAAGAAACCGCGCCACACACAACCAGTCCTGCAAATGGCACAGAAATGGCCTCAAGAAAGCCCGGTCACAAAGGCATGAATCTCTTAAGGGGGTGGACCCCACGTTCCTGAGGAACATGCGCTTTGCCAAGAAGCACAACAGGAAAGTCCTGAAGACGATGCAGGCAAACAACGCAAAGGCATTGAGTGTGCAAGAGGCCATCAAAGCCCCTTTGAAGCCTGCAGCCGTTAAACTTAACCAAGATGCCAAAGGGCCCCAGCCACAACCTCAGCTGTCTGGATTTCATCGATCACCCCAAGCTTGGGACTCATATTTGAAGCTACATGGCCTAGGGTCATAGGCTGTACCAACCAAAGGCCAAGGTTCAAACCAAGGCAAAGGCTGCAGCTCTAGCTAAGGCCCAGGCTTCAGCTCCAGCTTAGGCTCCCAAAGGTGCCCAGGCCCCTGTGAAGGCCGCACAGGAAAGGCTTCTGCTAAAGTGAAGACAGACGGACTGGTGTGACACACCCACCTACACACTATTTACAGATGACCAGTGTCCTATGCTGTTTTTACAGATAAACCTGAGGCAAGATCTGTTACATAGATAGATAGATAGATAGATAGATAGATAGATAGATAGATAGATTGATAGAATCTTCTTAAGAGGCTGGGGTACATGAGTTCAAGGTCAGCTTGGGCAAAACTCAATCTTAAAATTAATAAAATGATAATGTCTTAATCATTTCCAAGATGTCTAAACCAAGAATCTTATGAAAAAGGGTGCGGTCATTGTCCTAGTTAGGATTACTGTTGCTATAGTGAACACTATAGTGATGAAAAGTAAGCTGCAGAGGAAAAGGTTTATTTGGCTTACAGTTCCTCCTTGAAGGAAGCCAGGGCAGGAACCCAACAGGGTAGGAACCTGGAGGCAGGAGCCAATGCAGAGACCATGGGGGAGTGCTGCTCACTGGCTTGCTCCTCGTGGCTTGCTCAGCCTGCTTTCTTATAGAACCCAGGACCACTCCCCATCTCTGGGGAGGCCCCACCCACAATAGACTAGGCCCTCCCCCCATTGATCACTAAATAAGAAAATGCCCAATAGGATTATCTGCAGCAGCCCCATATTATGGAAACTTTTTTTTTATTTTTTATTTTTTTGGTTGAAGCTCCCTCCTTCTGATGACTCTAGCTTCTGTCCGGTTGTCATAGAACCTGCCTGCACAGTCACCTCTAAGGAAGCATAATTTAGTGGGGCTTCTAGGCCTCAACCCGATGCTTCGTGGGAGACTGCCTGTGGCCTAGCTCCCTGAATGTGCCATTTCAACCACAGGGGCATCGCTCTCAGGGGCAGTCCTGTCTTGCTCTCAGTAGTCTCTGTCTGCCTCTCTCCCTCTAGCTTCGTCAGACTATGTCGAAGTTCCTTCAGGAACACCTGGCCCCCAAGGCCCAAGAGATTGATCAAAGCAATGAGTTCAAGAACCTGAGGGTGAGTTGCAGGGGTGAGGGTGGGAGTGGAGGCTTCTGGGGACAGGGTGGCCCCCAGTGCCCTTTTGCCTAGAGAGGTGCACACTGTGTCCTGGCGACAGGGGCCTCGCTGCTCTAGGAAGGAGTGAGTACAGCTTCTCCCTCTGAGTGGCTTGTTCTTGTTCTGGCCACACATGGCTAACTGCCTTCTCATCAATCGTCCCACTCTGCTCTGTTGACAGGAGTTCTGGAAGCAGCTAGGGAGCCTGGGAGTCCTGGGCATCACGGCCCCTGGTGAGTATGGCTTCTTTCCCTTAAGAGAACTCCCTCCGTTGCCAGAACAGGCAGGAAGGGAAGTGGGAATGGTGGCACATTCCTTTAACCCCAGCACTCAGGGGGCTGAAACAGGAGGCCTACTCTTTGTCCAAGGACAGCCTGTGCCGTACAGTAAGTTCCAGGCTATCCTAGCCCACGGAGTGAGACCCTGATTCAAAAAAACAAAACAAAACCAAGGGGCTGGAGAGAAGGCTCAAGCGAAGAGCACTTGCTGTGTAAACCTGAGAGCCAGAGCTCAGATCTCAGTACTATGTAAAAGCCAAGCCTGTCCCGCCCCGATGTCTGTAATTCCTGCACTGAGGGCGGCTGACACTGGGGGGCTTGCTGGGACTCCTTGGCTACTCATTTCACCAAAAACACAAGTTCCAGGCTCAGTGAGAGCCTGGAACACGGTAGGGAGTGGGAACACGGTTAGGAGCGGGGAGAGGGTGCCCGCACGCGTCCGCAGGTGTGTGCACACACTTCACCGTACATACACTCAGAGAAATCAAACAGGAAGAGGGGAGAAGGACCATTCCCAAAGAACTTCCTCCCCCCTGAACCTGAGGCAGCGCCCGCTGAGCACAGAGAAGACGTCCTCACTCACCAGTGATGGCCGAAGGCGGGATCCCGGAGACTCTGCTTATTCCACGCTGAAGACTGAGTGCGAGCCTGCACCCTGGACAATGCGCATGCTCTACAGACTCCTCCAGAGGATTCTGGGGAGTTGAGAAAATTCTAAGTCAGGTCACCGCCCTTGTTGACCAGCTTTCTCTAGGTGAATCCTAAGCTCTGTCTCACCAGTGGCCTGTAAGAGGTATGCCCCTGAGGGACAGCCTAAAGCCTCTGCTTTCAGCTTGTCCCCAGAGCTCATTTGGGGTCAGAAATGGGACTAGGAGGGATGTGCCAGTATCTCCTATGGATGCCGTGACTTGTTTGGGCAGTTGGGGTGGGGGAGGCAGGGAGCTGGCATATTCTGGTTCTGTGTTGCCTTCTCTCACTCTGCCTGGGTGGTTGTACCAGCGACTGTGTGAGCTGTTGCCCTCCTCGTCCAGCCACACTCCTGGGGGCGGGAGAGCAATGCAACCGACTCTTTGTCCTGTCGTTCTTTTCTAAACCATAAAGAACAGCTGCATCCTATCCCGTACCCCGAGGGTAAGGCAGGAAGACTGTTAGGCAAGCTGACCTAGGCTATAGAGCTAAGACCCTGGCTCAAAAAAAAAAGGGGTGTGGTGGTGTGGCTGGAGAGATGGCTCGGCGGTGAAGAGCCCCTGTTGCTCTTGCAAAGGACCCGCCTTCCGTTTCCGGCACCCACATGGTGGCACACAGGCACTGTTGGCTCTAGTTCCAGGGGACCTGGCAACCAAGTGCACCAGGCTTGCACACACATACAAACACTCAAGTGCATAAAATAAAATAAATCTAAAAAAAAAAAAAATTAAGGGGAAATAAGCTAACAACTATTTGTATAAAACATGTACTATTTATAATATAGGAATGTGGGCAGGTATACATAAATTATATTGCTATTTTGTGTAAGATATGCCTGGATTTGGTATCGGAGAGGGGTCCGGAAACCAAGGACACAGGTGTCAGTTGGACTGGTGTCTGTATATTTCATCTTGTATCCTCCTGAAGTAGCATAGGTCCTGGGATTTGAGTTGACCTCCGGAAGTTACATGAATAATGATATAAAAAAGCCACTGGATGACTCATTTAATCATGTTGGTGTGAGGGAGTTTGGGGGAGGGCCTTTTGGGAACCCCTAAACAAGATTTTTCTTTGTGCTTTAAGGGTTTCTGATATTACCCAACATAATATGTTTCTAAATTAGAATATATTTCATGGAACAAAGAAGCAGTTTAAAATCAATGGGCTGCAGCTAGGCTGTGTGATAAACACCTGTAACCTCTACACTTGAGGGATAGAGATAGGAAGGTTGTAGGTTCAAGGCCACCGTAAGGTGCATGATACCCCGAGGGAGAGGCTGAGGATGCAGTTGATTTGCTACAATGTCTGTGTGTCCCCAACGTGGCAGAAACAATCCCAATACTCAAATGTAAGGCAGGAACAGCATAAGTTTGAGAAGAAAAGTGAAAGAAAGAAAAGGAAAAAAGAAGTAAAGAAATTGGGGAGGGGGGGTACAGAGATGGCTCAGAGGTTAAGCGCATTGGCTGTTCTTGCAAAGGTCCTGAGTTCAATTCCCAGAAACCACATGGTGGCTCACAACCATCTATAATGAGATCTGGTGCCTACTTTTGGTGTGCAGGCACACATGCAGGCAGAACACTGTATACGTAATAAATAAGTAAATCTGGAAGGAAGGATGGAGGGAATCTGGAGAGCTGGGGCTCAGAGTGTAGCTTAGTAGAAAGAGCGTATACTTTGTATGAAGCCCTAGGTTTGATGCCCAGCACTTTAAAAACAAGAGCGAGGCAGGTTCGTTGGTGCATGCCTTTAATCTCAGCTCTAGGGAGGCAGAGACAGGTGGATCTCTGTGAGTTCGAGGCCAGACTGGTCTGCAGAGTGAGCCCAGGACAGCCAAGGCTTCACAGTAAAACCCTGTCTCAAAAAGAAGAAGAAGAAGAAGGAGGAGGAGGAGGAGGAGGAGGAGGAGGAGGAGGAGGAGGAGGAGGAGAAGAAGAAGAAAAGAAGAAGAAGAAGAAAATAGTAGAAAGAAACAAAAGAAAAGAAAACGAAGGCTATTATTTTTACTGGGGATTGAACCTAAGGCCTTGCATATGCCAGACAAGATTCCTAACACGGAACTATGCCCCACTCTGTCCCCACCATTTTCCTATTTATCTTGAGACCGAATCTCGCGAAGTTGCTGGAGCTGGCCTTGAACTCACTCTGTCAGACTTGAATGTGTTCTTTCAAGTGACACCAGCTGACCCCAGCCCTGTGAGCCAGACGGGAGTAGTTCTGCTTTCCTGCTTATTTTCCTGGAGTTGCAGCTGTATATCGCATCAGGCAGCCTGATTAATCAATCAGAAGGAGCCTGTTCTCAGGGTCTTTACTTTACAGGCAGCTGAACTAAGGGACCGATGGACCCAGCCACTTTTTTTTTTTTTTTTTTCTGAAATAGCTATTAAGGAAAACATGCTTTCTCTTTTTCACTTTTTCCTTTCCTTCTTAATTTTTGAGATAAGGCCTCAGGTAGCCGAGACCCTGTAATACAGTTCCTCCTGTTGTGGTGACCCCCCCCCAGCCATAAAAGTATTTTCATTGCTACTTCATAACTGCAGTTTTGTTACTGTAATGAACAGTAATTTTTTTTTTTTTTGAGATAGAGGTTTGTCAAAGGGTCATAACCCACAGGTTGAGAACTGTGGGTTCTACTCTAGGGGAGCCAAGAGGGTTCTCTTCTGGTCTCTGGGGGCACCGGTACACATGTGGCATAAATATACACACAGGTAAGTAAAAAACACTGATAAGTTGTTGTTTTGTTTTGTTTTTTCACAATCTCTCCTTCCCAAGGCCGCAGGACACGCAGTCTGTAGCTGATTTTGCTGCTCTGAATGTAGGCCCCTCCGCCCCCCCCCCTTTTGTGTTTCCTTGCCTTCTTCCATCATCCATCTGCTTCTGCCTCTTGTGACTTCCGAAGAGCGTGTGCTAGGGTTCTTGCTTGTCCTCGCTGACGATGTCTGGGATAAAGCCAGTGTTGGAGATGATCTTCCAAACTGCAGTTCGCCACAGTGGAAAGCAGAACCAGTCCTGTGCCCTTCTGAGCAGAGACCCTGGCCACAAGCCTCCGACCTTGCTGGTGGAGCTTGGGCTGGCTGCCAGGGTGTCTCTGCTCTGCCAGTTAATATAAGGTTCCTGTCTGTGTGCCAATGTAACCTGGCTCTCTTTCTGCTTCCCACACGGCCCTGCTCCCAGTTCAGTATGGTGGCTCTGGCCTGGGCTACTTAGAACATGTGTTGGTGATGGAAGAGATATCCCGGGTCTCTGGAGCAATAGGGCTCAGCTATGGTGCTCACTCCAACCTCTGTGTCAACCAGATCGTTCGCAACGGGAATGAGGCACAGAAAGAGAAATACCTGCCCAAGGTGAGGAGGTGGGAATGCAGACACCTGCTGCCTCAACACAACCACCCTATGACAAGCTCTCCCTCGGGGAGAGCCAAGCACAGTCTCACCCTTGGCTGGCTGCCACGAACTAAATATAATCAGGAAAGGGACCGAGACCGCTTTAAAATGCTTAAGTCAAGAAATTGAAATGCCTGAGGGGGCTGGAGAGATGGCCCTTTAGATAAGAATATTGACTGCCCTTTTAGAGGACCCAAGTTCAATTCCCAGCACCCACATGGTGACTCACAGCCCTCTACGACTCCATGATTCTGGCCACTTTGGGCACCACACACATACATGCAGACATGCATGCAGGTGAAGAAAGGAAATAATAAGCTGGAGAGCAACAGAGGAGGATCCTTGGTATTGATCCCTAGTCTCTACATGCACGAGTACATGTGTGTCTGTGTGCTTCTCACACTTGTACACATGTAAACATACAACACACCAAAAAAAGAAAACAAGGGCAGAGCTTAACACCTTTAATCCCGGCACTCCGGAGGCAGAGTCAGGTGGAGCTGGGTGAGTTCGAGGCCAGCCTGGTCTGCAGAGTGAGTTCCAGGACAGCCAGAGCTGCACAGAGAAACCCTGTCTCTAAAGACAAATCTAAAAAGAAGAAAGAAAGAAACCTTCAGCCAGCGTTGTGATGACTTGTGACATAAATGTAGAAATTCAGCTGCTTGGGAGACAGAAGCAGGAGGATTTGGCAAGACCCAGTCTCAATCAAATGGGAGCCAGTGAGATGGATTAGTTGTAAAGGTGCCTGCCACCAAATTTGGTGACCTGAGTTTGAAAAACACGATGGAGAAAGAACCAATTCCCACACATAATCCTCTGATACACACACACGCACAGTAGCCTATGTGCACACGCACACACGCAGAGCAAATAAGTTAAAATACAATTTTTAAAATATAAAGACTGGGGAGCAAGGGGAGGGCTCAGTGGTAAATTCCTTGCTTAGCATGTGTGAGACCCTAGAACCCAAAAACGGGCAACCCGGAGTGGAAGAGAGGCTTTGTAAATACTTGCTTTGCTCGGGGGGGGGGGGGGGGTTGCGGTTTGAGGGACAGAAAGTGGGCAGGAAGGGGCAGTCTTGGGGAGCAGCTCCCATGTCCTAACCAGACAGGTTTCCGTTTCCCTTGTAGCTCATCAATGGTGAGTTCATCGGCGCCCTGGCCATGAGTGAGCCCAATGCTGGCTCTGATGTTGTCTCCATGAAGCTGAAAGCAGAAAAGAAAGGTAAGGCCATTTGCCACGGGGCAGCAGGAAAAGACAGAAAAACAAACCCAGGGTGAGGGCATAGCAGTTGGGGGCAGTCTCTGCTGGTTCCCAGTACCAGCTCTTAACTGGGTGGCAGCAGTTCTGTGGGCTGACTGGCTGACCCAGGACAAGAGACCATGCCTTGCCCTGCCCTTAGGAGATTACTACGTTCTGAACGGCAACAAGTTCTGGATCACCAATGGCCCTGATGCTGATGTCCTAGTTGTCTATGCCAAGACAGACTTGACTGCTGTGCCAGCTTCTCGGGGCATCACAGCCTTCCTGGTGGAGAAGGTGAGGGTAGTGGGCATGAGATCATAGAGACTCCACCTCTAACAACAGTGACAGAGATAACCCATTCCTTCCACCCGATGGAGATTGAGATCAGTGTTCTGTACTCCTGCACCCAGGAGGTGGTGGGTGAGCAGGGCCTGAAGAAGGTAGCCTATCCCAGCACTCAGGGAGGCAGAGGAGGCCGCATCTCTGTGAGTTCGAGGTCAGCCTGGTCTACAAAGCCAGACCAGAACAGTGAAACCCTGTCTCAAAAAACAAAACAAACAAAAACAGGTAGCCTCAAAGTTTGGTGCTGGCAGAGTTGCTTAGTGGTAGAGCAGCTGCCTAGAATGTATAGACCCTAGGTTTCAGCTTATCACTACAAGAAGAGGAGGAGGAGGAGGAGGAGGAGGAGGAGGAGGAGGAGGAGGAGGAGGAGGAAGAGGAAGAGGAAACAAACAAAATAAGGAGAGAAAGACCTTGAGAGGCTGGTGTTGTAAGTGATGATTAATATTTACTATTGATATAGCTTTTGGTAATGCTGCTGTTAATCCTAAACAGCTGTATAACCAAATCACCACACGGACTCTATGATTTATTTAATTAACCTAGAACACAATGCTGGGCAATAGTTACTCAATCCTAAACCTCCAAGCCCTCATACTTTCCTAACATTTAGATTAACCCATTTATACTTGCTTTTAGAGATACATTAGGTCCAGTCCATCTCTCCATGTTGTTCCAAGACCTCTCTCCCAGCTCTGCTCTCCCAGCTCCCTCCTGCCCTTCTCTCCCCCTCTCCTTTCACACCTTCCTGTCCTCTGGCTCCTCCTATCAAAAGATATATCAATAATAAATATTAATCATCACTTACAACAGGCTGGGTCAAGTTTGAAGACAGTAAAGCTGTCCATAGAGTTGAGGAGAAGAAAATGGAAAAGAAACCAATGAGATGTTCTTACTGAGCTGAGCAAGAGCTTTGGGGAGACTGAGGCGTGGATGGGAATGCAAATGTTGCTATGGACACCTCACCTCTGATAGTGTGGACAACGACAAGATACATCAGGAGTTAGACTAAAGTCCAAGAGTTCCATTTTGGGTTTGGCTTTGTTTTAAAACGAGCCAGATGAGGTGACGTGTGTTTGTAATCTGTGCGGCACTTGACAAGCAGCCGTAAGTTTGAAGCTAGCCTGGTCTTTGTAGTGAGGCTATAGTCCATGGCTATAGAGCAAGCAAGACTGTGTCTCAAAAAACTAAAAACAGCTGGGCGGTGGTGGCATCTGCCTTTGATCCCAGCACTTGGGAGGCAGAAGCAGGAAGATCTCTGTGAGTTGGGGGCCACCCATGGCTGCAGAGCAAGTTCCAGGACAGCCAGAGCTATGTGGAGAAACCTTACCTTGAAGAGAAAACAAAACAGAAAAACTAAAAAACAGGAAACAGGAGGGTTTTCAGCATACAGAAAATAAAACAGGAAGGTTTTTTGTTGTTTTGCTTTTTTTTTTTTTTTTTTAAGATGGTATCTCATTGGGTAGCTCCAGCTGGCCTAGACCAGGCTGCCCTTGAACTCACAGCGATCCATCTGCCCCTGCCTCCCAAGTGCTGGGAGTAAAGGCATGTGCCCTACCCTGGAAAAAAAAGCTGGAGATATGTAAGTTTAGGGAACAGGTGTCAGCCTCATGCCATCTGCCTAGCGATGTTGAGCAAAGAGGGCAGGTGCCACTGAGGCTTGGGGACCCAGCTGCAGGGGAATGCTAGAGTTCAAGTACGTGGTACGAAGGTTGGCAGCATACTGCATGAGGAGGCGGGAGTAGCTAAAATTGGAACTAGGAAGGATGGGAGGTAACAGGTAGCAGCAGTATGTGTCATTCCTCCTCTGGGCACTTGGCGACCCGCTGTGGCATCCCCATCAAAGCATGTAGAAGGCTGGAGCTGGGGTTCCTTTAGGAACAGGTGGCGAAAGAGCAGATTGGCATGGGCTGAGAGAGTGTCTTTGGAGTTACCTCCCTGGGGGAGTGAAGAGATCTGGGGACTGAATGCTTCCCTGAGAACTGGGGAGATGGAGGGTGTCAGCAGAGGGGTTGGGAATGAGGCTGGCAGGTGTGAAGACTGGAGATTTGCATTCAGAGGGAGAACTCAGGAGTGAGAGGGTGGCATGCTGGGCAGCTCCCAGAACCTGTAGGTAAAGTGAGCTTCCCCTTTATTAGCCCTCCTCTGGGGCAGGTCTAACCAGGGTCTCCTCTGGTTTCCTGTAAAGGGTATGCCTGGTTTTAGTACCTCCAAGAAGCTGGACAAGCTGGGCATGCGGGGCTCCAACACCTGTGAGCTCATCTTTGAAGACTGCAAGGTGCCTGGTGAGTGTTCAGAGAGTAAGGGAGTCCCTACCCTGACTCCTTTGCAAGTTGGAAAAGCCCATCTCGCCATTACAGAGGGTCACTACCATTATCTGTCCCGTGATATGCAGCAAGACTGTGGGCCTGGAGCTGCTGGACAGCTAGCTAGCTGCCCTAGCCACAGACCCTGCTGCTATTTGCTTGCCTGCCTAGATGAAGGACAGGTTTCCTCTGTGGGCGGCACATCTTGCTGATAGCCAAAAGTGAAGCTGACATGCTTCAGACCTCCTGTGCACCTGCCTGTACAGCCTACATGAGCTAGTCCGACTTTTTGTCGCCATCGTAAATAAGCCAACAAACCGGTTGAAGGAAGGAGAACTTGTTTTTACCCACGGTCTCAGGGATCAAGTCTGTGGTCCTTTGGCTCCATTGCTTCTGCACCTGGAGTGAGGCAGAGCATGAGGGAAGAAGGGCCTGTGGAGAACTGCTTGTCCTAGGGAGCTAAATAGCAGAGACAGAAGAGGAAGGAGTCCCATTAGACTCTGAAAGACACACACACACACACACACACACACACACACGTGGCCAATTTTCCCTGGAGGTTCTTCCTCTCAAAGTTCCTGTTGTCTCCACTAATGCCATCAAATTATGAATCCATCACCGGGTTAATCCAGCTGTCACGATCCAGTCACGTCCCAAACCCCACCTTAGAACACTGCTGAGCTGACAACCACGCCTTCGGCACACCAGCCCACAGGGGGACATTTTGTGCCCAAACCACAACACTCTGAATTACGATCGGTAATGATGCTAAAAGCCCGTCAGAATAAACTGACAGAAGCCAGGCTCGGGAAGGAGAGGTAATTGGATTTTGCAGGGATATTTTCTCCCCTGTGCTGTGGCTGTAAACGTGACACCGTGTAGCACTTCGAGAGAGCTGAGAGCATGGATCTCATCCTCAATTAGGACTGCTCTGTGCATCAGCCGTAAACCATCCCGAAACAGCATGCTCTTGTCAGAAGGGGTCTCTAGAAAGGGGTATCCATGCAGACCCATCTTTGTAGGAAAGAAAAAAAAATTCACCCACCAGCCTTAAAGGCCAGTTAGGCTGTCGAGTTTTTCTACCAAGTATTCTGCCCAGGCGTCCTTATTAGGGGCCAGGTGCTCGGTCACTAGCACCCTAACTCCTAGACAAAGCAGCCTCCACAAACATTGCTGAGAGGTGACCCTGAACCCAAGCAGAGCACCCCGGGGCCACGAGTTCTCTGGTTTCTCTATTAGTGGACACCGGTGTAGAAAGAGGCCAAGAAGGGCGGAGTGACTTCTAAGCCACTCCCTTTTTCTTTCTCATCCAAGGGAGTCCAAGGTGGGAAGGGAAAGAGCTAACATCTTGGGGCTCTGTAGTGTTGTGGATGGTGTGGGGGAGGGGAGGAGAGGGAAGGTCCTGAAGACTCTGCTTCTGCCTGGAAGTGTAAAAGTTCACCTTTTCCTCTCACTTGAAACCCTAATTAAAGGCGGAGTAACACACTCTTGTGCCTTTTATCTAAGTAAAGAGGCCATGAACAGCCCTCGGTGACTGGCATGTATCCCCGCAGCTGCTAACATCCTGAGCCAAGAGAGTAAGGGTGTCTACGTACTGATGAGCGGGCTGGACCTGGAGCGCCTGGTGCTGTCAGGTGGGCCCCTTGGGTAAGTGTGAGGGGGCTGGAGGCCTACCAGGGAAGCAGGTGGGCCTCTGGATATGTGAGGCTGGGGGCCCCTAAGCTCTCCAGCCTCCTTATTAGGTTAACGGCCTCGCCCCGATAAGGAGGGAAGCTCTTTCAAGGCCTGTCCTAGACAATCTCCTCCTCCATTGAATCTCTTCACACAGAAGGGAAATGGCATTCAGTGACAGATGCCAGGTGAGGACAGAGGAGGTTAGGCAATGTGGTTGTGAGGCAAGAAGCCCAAACTCTCACACCTGCCCGCTGCCCCGCCACACCCACCTGATCTCAGAGGAAGGTGCAAGGGAGTATGGGTAGCAGGGAGTTTCTCTCGGGGGGACTTCCATCCTCCCACCTCAGTCCTCAGGCCTAATCCTCTGGCATCCTTCCACCCGACTTGCTGTCATCATGCCTCCATATTGTTGGCAGGATCATGCAAGCTGTCCTGGACCACACCATTCCCTATTTGCATGTGAGGGAAGCCTTTGGCCAGAAGATTGGCCAATTCCAGGTAAGTGGAATGCTTGCTGAAATGTCCTCTTCCGCTCAACTAAGTGGAGGAGGTAGGCGTGCATTTGGGGATGGCTACTGTCCTGTCCTTGCTTGAGTTCGTAGAATGCAGCTCCCTTCACATTCAGCCTAGCTTTGGGCCTTCATCACGCTGTTCTACCTGTCCCTGCTGGAGATGAATGAAGTAGACGCTGTAAGGCCGGAGGGCAGCATGCAGAGCGCGGGAGCTTAGGAGAAAAGGGAGATGCAGTTCTAAATCCCGCCTTTCTCGCGAGAAGACGCTGCCGGAAGCTAGCCACACAAGAGGCAGCTCTCCGGCCTCTCTCCCGTCTCCATGGTCCTAAAAGTCCCATCTCTGCTCTGGGCCCCTGGTTCCTCATCCCTGGCTGTCAGGTCGTCCTTGCCACTGACCTGCTTTGGGTAATTAGGGTGTCCCAGCACCTTGACCCGTGGCCTCCCTTCGTTGCCAGCTGATGCAGGGAAAGATGGCTGACATGTACACCCGCCTCATGGCATGCCGACAGTACGTCTACAACGTGGCCAAGGCCTGCGACGAGGGCCACGTCACTGCCAAGGTGAGGGCCGACTCTGCGGGAGGAAGAGGTGGCGGGGGCGGGGCACCCTCGGGGGCGGGCACCTGTGTGCTTGTCAGGACCTGCTGAGCGGAGCCTCACTCCACAGGACTGTGCCGGCGTCATCCTGTACGCAGCCGAGAGCGCCACACAGGTAGCCCTGGACGGCATTCAGTGTTTAGGTGAGCGGCCCCCCACTGCCCACCCCCAGGGTCCCTCTCCACTCCTTAAGCCAGCCACAGCCATGCTGGCACCTCTAGGCTCTCCCTGCCCACAGCGAAGAAGAGAAGGAGGTTTTGGTAATGGCAGTCAGTTACCAACTGGGTGGTTATCTTAAAGGGGAGGCGGGGCCTGGGACACAGTGGTGAAGAACTCTGGTTGCAGTTCCGGAGGACCCAGCTTCTCTTCCCAGCACTCTCCTTGCAGCTCTTTTAACTGTAGTTCTAAGGGAACCACTGCCCTCTTGTGTCCTCTGAGAGTGCCAGGCGTGAAATGCGGTGAACAGACAAGCATGCCAGCAAAGTACCCACATACACAAAATCAAATCTTTTTTTAAAGGAAAGAGAAAAATAGCCAGGTCGTGGTGTACACCTTCAATCCCAGGACTCAGGAGGCAGAGGCAGGCAGATTTCTGAGTTCAAGGCCAGGCTGGTCTACAGAGTGAGTTCCAAGACAGCCAGGGCTACACAGAGGAACTCTTATCACCAAAAAAAAAGTGTGTGTGTGTGTGTGTGTGGGGTGATGGCAAGGAACCTACAAGCTGTCCTTACCTTCCCTGCCTGGTGTAAGGTCACCAGGAAGTGGGGAGAGGGATGCCCCAGCTGGAGCAGTCTCGTTCATTTTTTGGCCAGTTGTGAAGGGCACAGGCTTAAGTTTGAATCCTACCTCTCTTGCCCGTGTCAGCCACTGATTCTGCACTTTGGAGGGAGGAGGAGTCTCTGTGTAGCCCTGGCTGCCCCGGAACTCACACTCTGTAGTGTCAGGCCCTGGCTGGCCTTGAACTCACAGAAATTCGCCTGCCTCTGCCTCCCGAGCACTGAGGTTAAAGGTCTGTGTCACCACTGCCTGGCTTTCTAAAATTTATTTATTATTCTGCCCTTTTTAAAAAGCGGGGTCTCACACACGTGAGCACATGGTGTCACTGAGGATGGCTTTGACTTAGAACTTCAGCTCCCCTGCCTCCACCTCCCATTACTCCTCCTGAGCAATGGGTCCATAGGCATGTGCCACATGCTGAATCCAGAACTCTGGGCAAGCTAGATGGACACTCTACAGCCCCGCCCCGGAGTTTGCCCTCTCTTTGTCTGGATCTCCAGCACTCAGTGCCACTGTCCCATCCTGACCCCAACAAGGTTCCCTCATTGCCTTTGCTTCTCTTTAATCAGACCTTCCCCCACAGCCAGTATATCCTGGGGCCCTTATGGATTTAACCATAGTCAGAAAAGGCTGGGCATGGCAGTGCATTCCTGTAATCCCCGCACTTGGGAATGCAGGAGGATTGCATTGAGGGGCTTTAGACCAGCCTAGGCTACAGAGTAACTTCTTGGCCAACCCGGACATTAGCATACAGAGCCAGCAACCCAGCACTGTGGTGGGGCATGCACCTCTGTAATCTCAGAAGTCTGAGGTAAGGGGGTCAGAAGTTCAACGTCATCTTGGCTAAACACTGCGAGTTGCAAACTAGCCTAGAATATGGCAGACCCTGTTTCAAAAAGGGAAGGAAATGTTCAGAAAAAAAAAAAAAAAACTATCAGTAGCTCGGGATTTTGCCAGCACTGGAGGTCGGGGGGAAAAAAACCAACAAGATGGACCCTTGGGTGCTACCAAGCCTGGCAAGTTGAGTTTGGTCCCCAGGACCCACGTGGTGAAAGGAGGAACGCTGACACATGCCACACATTGTCCTCCGAGCAGATGTGCATGTACACATATACACACAAAACAAATGTAAAACAAAAGAAAAATTGTACCTAAGCTGGACACAGACTTGTTCTAGTGTCGCGATCCCCTAAACATTCCAGCGTAACAATTTAAGTGGTACTTAGGTCCATTAGATATACAAATAACCTAGAGGTTTTTAAAATATGAGCTGGGATTATAACTCAGTGGTAGAGCATCCGCCTAGAGTGTCAGGTCCATGCCCAATCCTAACACAGAGACAGAGACTGGAGGGAGAGGAGAGGGAGTCCGGAGAACGCTCATAGGTTATATGTAAAGGAACCAGTGCTCTGAAGATCCTGGACGATGACTCCTTGACCTTCTATTTGCTTTCTCACTTCGCCCCCTGCCTTCAATTCTGTCCTTTCTCTTCCCACTTCTGTTCCACAGGTGGGAATGGCTACATCAACGACTTCCCCATGGGCCGATTTCTTCGGGATGCCAAACTGTATGAGATTGGAGCTGGGACCAGCGAGGTGAGGCGGTTGGTCATCGGCAGAGCTTTCAATGCAGACTTCCGCTAGCCCCACAGCCCTGGTCAACCCCTGGTCCTAGCACCAAGAGACCTTTCTTTGGAAGCAGAGGCATGGCAGCCTTCTCACCTGTCTAAGGAAGCTCTGCTGCTCAGCTGCCCTTCTCATGCCAGCCCTCTGCTCCGTGTGAGGTCGGATCCTCCAGCCAGCCAGTCAGAAGAGCCCAAAATGACTGCAAGAAGGACTTTGGCTTTTCTGGGGCTTGTGGGGAGAGCTTCAGATGCCCTGCCTCTTTCAATTTTCTTAGAGTGGTCCCTTTTCTTTCTTTTTTTCTGAGACAGGGTTTCTCTGTGTAACCTTGGCTGTCCTGGACTTCACATTGTAGACCAGGCTGGCCTCTAACTCATTAGGATCCGCCTGCCTCTGCCTTACCAAGTGCTGGGTTTGCTGGCTGTTTCCCCAAGGTCTAAACAGCTCCAGAATGCCTGTGCAATAGACCCGTGGAAGGGCAGAGTCCACGGTCTAGCCAAGACAGTGTGCAGAGTGGCTCCTGCTGGCCTCCCTGGTGTGCCTGAGTCTGTCTGCATCACTCTGTCACAGGCTAGAACTGGGCCTTCTCATGTGACCTTCTGCAGCTGACTGGGCAGCTGACAGGCTCCATGGCCCGGCCTGGTTTGCCTGGCTCAGCTCCAGCCTCTCTGACTGTACATTTCTCTAGACACCCTGAAGCTAATTGTGTTACAACCAGCCAGTGGCTGCTGCCATTTTGTATTTAACATACTGCAAAGTAAAGCCTTCTGTGCCCAAAGCAGTGTTCTAGAGGAGAAGCAAGCCATTTGCCATGACCTGCCTGCACCCTGAGGGTGTCCTTGAAGAGTCCCGCCCCTTTGGTAACAGGACAGGAGGCCAGAGTGGGAACCCACTCAGACCCCAACTCCCAGTGACCTTTTCTTTCATGTCCCTGAGCTAGGCAAGCACTGTACCCCCTGAGTCAGCTCCCTCCCCCTGCCAACTTCTCCTTGGTTTGATTTCAGTCTCCCTGTAGCCCAGGCTAGCCTTGAACCAAGATCTTGAACTGAAGATCTGCCCCGATCTCTTGAGTGCTGGGATTACAGGCATGACCCACAGGCAGACCCCTGCGATTTTCCTTAAAGGGAGGGGAAGTCCGTCCGGTATGTGAAGATAGAAGGAGAACCTTAAGTTTCCGGAGGCCACCCCTGAGGGGCGTTTGTCTTTTGAGACACGATCTAACCTGTAATACAGAATCCCCCTGCCTCTGCCTCCTGAGTGCCATGATCATAGGCACGAACCACCAGACCTAGCACATCTCTGAGTTTTGTTTTGTCTCCAAGTGTAGCCCAGGCCTTGAACTCAGAGATCCTCCTGCCTCTGCCTCCCAAGTTGAGTTCTGGGATTAATTGCGTGTACCACCACCATGCCCCTCCCAATCTTTGCAGCTTTTTTTTGTTTAGTTTTGTTTTTCTATATCTTGACATTTTCAAGGTCAGAATTGGAGGATCCCAACCTGTGGCTGCCGCAGATAGCACCCTAGGAGTAGGTTCCCAAAAGTAAAACTGGTTTTCATGGCTCCCAGCCCAGCAGGGCTTGGTCCAGGCCCACGGCCAAGTGCTGAGGCTTGAGACAGGTGGAGTTAGCGCCTTCCCGACCCCAGTCCAGTCCCATCTAAAGTGGAAGTTCCAGAGCTCGAGGCTGCCCCTTGGCTTTCCCCCTCTGGGCCCTGCTCTGGTGGTGACCTAAGAAGGACCAGTGGAATGACCCACTGAAGATGTTCTAAGTGAGGCAGGGGTCCCACAAGCCGCAAGATGGCTTGCCACTAATCGAGACAACCTGAGTTGGAGTCCCGGAACCATTGTGGGTGGAGAGCTGCCCTCTGACCTCCAGAAGTCAACAGGATGCAACCCGGTCACCCAGTCGCGCCCACTGGAACCCTACCAATTTGAGAGTGTCCCCCAGAAGGTCACATGATAAAAACCTTAATCCCAGGCATTTGTTAATGGTTCGCTTGAGAGGACCCTCATGACTTCGGTGGCTTTAGAAGAGGGGACCTTGAACTGCTGTGCTTGCCTTTTCCTGTGAGGTCCTCACCATGTTCTGATGCAACAGAAAATCCTGGAGGTGGGAGTGTCTTGCTTTTGGATACCCAGCTTCTGGAACCTTGAGCTAAATCTCTATAATTACCCAAGGCGTGTGCCTCCAGCTATAGCAACAGGAAGAATGTGTTTGTTTTCCTGTTTGTTTTGCAATGTGATGCACACAAATGTTTTTAAATAAAAGACAAAACAAACTATGTCTGAAATGTAGTGGGGGGGGGGCTCTACCGAGATGAGTTAAGTGTGGCTTGGTCAGCCTCCTTATCAGAATCTAGTGACACTTTTATGTGGACACCTGGGGTCCCTGGGGAGTGATCCTGGGCTTAGGCAGCCACACAGGTTTGTTGTGTTGGGCCTGAAGGGAGTTTCTCCCCAGGGACTTGAGTCTTAAGCCTATAACCCAACGGTAGTCCTTATGTCTGTAATATTGCTTCACTCCTCACATCAACTCCTTCCCTGACCTTTGCAACCAACTAGGTGCTCAAGGCAAGATTGCTTAAGGACCCCATGCAAAGCCCTGCAAGGTGAGTTGCTCAAACCTAGGAAGGGAAGGGCGAGTCAGCCACCCCCGGACGCCGCAGAGATTAGGTGGCTCCAGGACTCCGGCCAAGCCATAGCATGCAGGGTTAGGGGAAGCGCCTAGCACACCCGTGCCCTGAATGCAGCTGAGACCCGGATGAGCCGTACGGATGATGTTCACCCGTCATCTGCCCACAGCAGATCCAGAGGGTCAAGTTTTCACCTCCAGCCTCAAAGCTCCGTGCGGTGACTCGCGGGACCTGCTCCGGCGGCGCTGCGTGGAGCTCGCCTGACCCCTGCCGGCCATTCGCGGGGTCGCAGGCGCGCGAATCTGGACGCTCCACTTTTCCCACTCTTGTGCCTTGCTCTGTATCCGCGGTGTCCAAGTCTGGAATCTCACCCACAGTTGAGGACATTGAAAGAGCACCATCCTCCATCACCACCACCTCATACAAGAAGGCCAGACAAAAATAGGGAGACCATGAACAGAGCAAAGGCAAGTGGTGTACCTTTTTAAAATTATGGTCACCGTTTTTTAATTGATTTTTTTTTTTTTGTCAAAAATGTATTTTATGTGTATGAGTGTTTTGCCTACATGTGTGTGCTCTGCTTGCATGCCTGGTACCCGCAAAGACCAGAAGAGGGACTGAATTCCGTGGAACTGGACTTACGGACTGTTTTGAGCTGCTTTGAGACCCAGACAAGATCCTTTGAAAGAGCTCCTAAGCACGGAGCCGTCTCCCACCTTCCAAAGCAGTCCACGTTGATTGAACGAAAGAGCCCGTCTCTTGTTCCTCCTGAACCATTTCCATTTCCCTAGGACAAAGCCACTTTTGAGTCTGTAAGGAGTTTCTGTTTGGCTATCCATGCCTCTAATGCCCTATGGATTGATTCGGTTGCAGGTCCTCCTAAGCAGAGTGCTTTAATGTGCGTAACTGTGTCTTACGGACAGTCTTGTCTCGGGAGCATATCTCTTCACTATCCAGATGAGTCCTGTCCACCAACAGGCACTTAGAAAGGCCCCTGGAGCTGGGGTTGGTGGTGGCGCATGCTGTGATCCCAGCACTCAGGAGGTAGAGGCAGATGCAGGCGGATCTCTGCGAGTTTGAGGACAGCCTGGTCTACAAAGCAAGTCCAGGAAGTCAAGGCTACACAGAGAAACCTTGTCTCAAAAAAAAAAAGTCCCTGGAGAAGATTGAGGTGGGGGTGGGAGTGGGACTTGTCTACATCATGGCCTCTGCTTCTGCCTGCCTTCAGCCCCACAGTGCAGGAACTCAAAGCCTCGCTAAGCGAAGCTGGTGCTCTCCTCTGCTGTGCTCCGCCTACTTCCTCTAACCAGGAGCCACTCTGGAATTTGACTTCTGCACAACAATCCAACTTGCCTTCCTTCTTCCAGGCCAGGCCGCTGAACCCCACCTTCACCCTGAGCCAGAGGGAACAATGAAGCCTCCCCTAACGCCTCCCATGTGTCCCGGCACATCTAAGGTCAAAGGTTACACTGGGCTGAGTGGGCATCCTGTGTTTCAGCACTCAGGAAGTTGAAGTAAAGGATTGCTGTCAGTTTGAGGCCAGCCTGGGCTGGTTACATAGATATCTAGTTCAAGGCAAGCCTGGGCTACATAAGTAAAACTTTCTGAAAATAAAAACCCCCTAAATAAAGACCCAACATTTCAATGGAGCACCTTTGCCCAGATACCTTGGAAGCAGGAGGATCTCTCAGGCTCTGGAGTTTGAGCCTAGCCAGAGCAACACACTAGACCCAAGATTAAAAAGGAAGAGGAGGGCCAGGCATGATGGCACATGTCTTTAATTTCAGCGCTTGGGAAGCAAGGCAGGCAGGACGCTGTGAGTTCAAAGGCCAGCGTAGTCAATAGAGAGAGCTCCAGGTCATCCAGGCCTACTGGGACCTTGTCTTAAAGAGAGGGGGCTGGGGGAACCTAAGGTTGCAAAGCAAACACTCTTTGGATCCACCTTGACTGTCTCTGTGGCTCCCCTCCCTACTGCTGAGCTGTGCTCAGAGGTGGCTGTGAATTGCCTTGTTTTCTAACCTATGCCCCACCCACCCACCCCCCCGCCTGGTTTCTCCATCTGGGAAGTCCTTCCAGCCCTCCACTGTGCTCTCGCTTTCTCGTTCCTAAAGCCGCAATGCAGAACCCCTTCAGAGCTCTCCAGCCTTTCTCCAGCTCTCTCTCTCTCTCTCCACCCCACCCACACCCCTTCTTCCTGTCTTGGCATAAGTGCATCCATGGGCGAGCAACCTGGGCAAGGGCAAGGTGGGCGCTCTCTCCGTCACCTGCTTCCTCCAGGAAGGGATGATTCTAGAATACCGCTCTGCACACCCACCTGCCCCACTTCTCTTAAGTATTTCTTGGATCCTGGCTGCCATTAGATTAGCCAGCGGGAGGAAAAGCCTCCATCAAGCACAGCAGGTTGTATTAGTTGACGTATCTGCTCCACTCCCACTAGGCTGTAAACTTAAAGGCTAGATCTGGGGAGGAACACCACCAGCAGTTTCTGGTGGGCAGTCATGTGTAGCCCAGCCCCCATTTTGCTGATAACAGAGTTTTTTATGGGTTGGTCACCTCTAGTAGTCCTGTTAGATTTCAGAGGTCAAAAATCATCTCCCAGCAGTCATGATGGCTTGTGATCACAGTCCCAGCACTCAGGAGGCAGAGGCAGGAGGATTTCATGTTTGAGGCCAGCCTGGGCTCCAAGGTGAGAGAAAACAGAACGAAACTACAGTAACAACAGCAACAAGTACTAAAGCCTCCCACTTCTCTGCACCTCCAGCAGCACTGGGTGCTTTCAGTAAGTACCCAGCGGCTATGTTCACTCTGGATGAGTGAAGCAACAGGTGGGCCGGGGCTCTGGCCTAATCCACAGTTGGCACAAACAGCAGAGCCAGCCGGCTTCCGCCTGACCCTGCTCTCCCCAGTCCTTCCCACCCTGGAGTAGCCAGGGCCCAGCTGCGGGAGGGAGGCCCTCACCCACCCCCACCTCCCATATTCCTCTGACCCACTCAGGAATGAAGAAAAGAGCTGTTATAAGGGACCTTAGCTCCTCCTCTGCCGGCTGGGGACAGAATGGGGGGTTGGGGGGGAGAGGGGGCAGAGGAGGGCCACACACCACTCTTTCTTTCCACAGCACAGTGTGTAGTGTACATAAGGACGCATGTGCATGCAGCGTCAAAAGTAAAGAGGCAGGAGCAGGCCTCGTGGCTCACACCTGCAATCCCGCCAGTCCCAGGACAGCCTGGGCTACCCAGCAAGACCATGATTTATCTCTCTATCTCTAGCTAGCTGACTCCTTTGAAGCCCTCCTCCATTTTGTTTTACTATTTTATTTTATGGTATAGAGGTGGAATCCAGGGCCTTGAACATACTAGGCAAGGGTTCATCCAAGCTACATACATCTCCAACCCCCAATGATTTTGTGTTTCATTTGTTTATTCGTTGCTTTTGAGATGGCCTCACTATGTTGCTCAGGCTAGCCTTGAACTCCAAGCTCAGGTTAGACTCTTGCTTTAGCCTCCTTCAGGTGTGTCAGCGTCCTTTTAATAGCTGGACTCCCATTGTGTGTATGCATGTGCGCGAGAATGTGTGTGCGCGTGTGTGTGCGTTGTCTGGTTCCTCATTGTATAGCATTGTTTTTGTTTTGTTTTTCCTCCAGGCTAAAGAGCAGAACTATACCTGTTCAACTATTTTCTTGTCTAGCACTCCCTCGTGTGGAAATTCTACAATCTAATGTCCGGCGTCCTCTGATGGGCATTTGGGCGTTTCTAGTTTGAGTTCGCCGTGCGATGGCCCCGGGAGCGCCTACTGGTGCAAATGTTGCTGGGGTTCTCTAGTGCATCCTCAGGGACGGAATTTCTTTGTTGTAGGGTATGGACGTGACCAACTTGAAAAGGGCCCTCGGAGCTGTTTTCCACAGTAGTGGTCTGGGGTCAGGTAAGATGGCTCACCCGCTGCCCTTCCTGACAACCTAAGTTCAATCCCTGGGACCCACACGGTAGAGGACACCAACACCTGAAACCTGTCCACTGACCTCCGAGAGCACACAGTAGGGCATGCGCACCCACAAATGTACAACATGAATGCACAATAAAGATGTCATAAAAAATTAAAGCAAAGTAGCAGTATGTCTATTTTTTTTTTTTTTCTTTTAGAACAATCTCACAGGAAATGACTCAGAACCTAGGGGACAGACATGGCAGACCAGAGCCCATGATCCACACATTCAGCAAAGCTCTCTAGACAGGCCACTAAGAGCCATGCGCTGGGCCATGGGTGTTGCGATAATGGCAAGTGAGGCCAGACCAAGCTCAGAAGGACAGTTACGGTTCCGTGTACTCTGCCACTCGGCCCAGCTCTTCAGCTTACCCTGGGGGAGAGAAGGGCTTGAGGAGGAGGTGGGGACTGTCTTAAAGAGAAGACAGCTGTTCCGGGCTTCCAACGGAGCAAGCAAGCGCCCTCCTCGGAGACAGCAGGTAGATGCCTGTCGGAGACCGGGTCTACGCTAGTGCTGACAGAGAAGGGCAGAACACCAGATCCATCCAAGCACGCCTCGCGCCTGTCTGGAGCGGACATGGGTGAGCACACACAGGGACACGCATACCGCCACACACACCGCCAGAGAGAGCCTGTCAGACGCCCTGCCGGAGCAGAAGCGGTGAGCGTGA